TCATGCCCGGTTGCCTTTTTGAACTTTATAAGTTTTTTGTGTATTCTTGTAACTAGACCAGATATTTTGAGAGGAATGATTTCTCTCATTCATTCTCCATGCCTTTTTTTTTTTAAACTCTCTTTATAGGATCCTCTGAAGCCTAAAAGTTTTTTAGGATTTTTTGTTTTGTTTTGTTTTTTTGTATTTGCACTGAAGATTTAACGTAGGCCTCAGCAGTGAGCTACATCTCCAGTCCTTTTATAATTTTGTATTTTGTGACAGGGTCTCATTTAAGCCTTTAAATTCTCTAAACTGCCCAGGGTAGGCCTGAACTTGTAATCTCCTGTCTCAGCCTCCCAGGTTTTTTGTTTTTCTTTTTTCAAATGGAATCTCACTACATTGCCCACAGTGGGTTTAAACACCTGGGATCAAGGGACCCTTCTGCCTCAGGTCTTCATAGCAACCGGCACCACAGGCACATGTCAGTCAGCCTGGCAAAAGCAATCTTGATAAGCTCTAATTCATCAGTTTTTCTCTTGGTTCCTCATATTTTCAGTATCTTATCTAAAAATCCACATCTCATTCATGGTAAAAAAAAAAAAAAAAAAAGACGTACCTAGCGGGGTGTGGTGGCATACACCTGTTAATCCCAGCATGCAGGAGGACTGCAGCAAATTTGAGGCCAGCTTGGGCTATGCTGTGAGTTCAAGGCCAGCCTGAACTATGTAGTCTTTTTTTTTTTTTTTTTTTTCATTTTTATCGGTACCGGGAATCGAACTCACGATCGCCTGCTTGCAAGGCAGGTGCTTATGCTGCTGAGCTAAACCCCCAGCCCGAACTATGTAGTCTTAAAATAAGATAAAATAAAAATTACTACCATATCCTTTTCCTATAATGTAACAACTCAGTGAGTTTATGAGTGCCTCATTGACTTATCAAAACAGTGTTTCAGGAATCATGTAATCTTGGTGTTGGAAGTGAAAGAAATCTTGGGGGCTGTTAACTTTGTTGCTGGATCTTAAATTCCCATATCAACTATGAAATTAGTATCAGCTAGAAAAAACACAAAGTTAAGGAAATCACTAAGAAACTAAAATCAGATTACAGACATGAAAAACAGAAAAGAAAATATTAAAATTAGAAGACTTTTACCTAGAAGACCAGAAAACGCAAGAAGAAACAGAGAGTCAAAAAAGAAAATCTCATGGAATCATAGGTTTATTTCCAGACTGAAAGAACCTAGTAAAACAGCTAGTATACTTAATGAGAAAATACCCATACCAACGTATATCATGGTATTTCAGATGTCAGGCATAAACAAAAAGAAAAAACAGAAGGAGAAAAAAGTTAACACACAAGCCAATTGTGGTGGCACATGCCTATAATTCTAATACTCAGGAGGCTGAGACAGGATGACAGCTGTAAGTTCAAGGCCAGCTTGGGCTACATAGTGAGTCTAGGCCAGCGAACTACATAGTGAAACCCTGTCTCACACACACACACACAAAAAGCCAGGTATGATGGTGCATGCCTGTAATCCCAGCACTCAGGAGGCTGAGGCAGCAGGATCATTGCAAGTTCAAGACCAACCTGGACTACAAAGTGAGCGCAAGGCCAGCCTGAACTACCCAGCAAGACTCTGTCTCAAAAAGACAAAGAAAAAGAAAGTTCATATACAAAGAATTAAACCACCATTTGGGAGACTGAAGCAAGATGATCATAAATTTGACACCAAGTGTCTAGGCAACTTAGTGAAATTTTGTCTCTAAAAAAGGCTGGAGATGTAATTTAGTATGAAGGCTGAGTTCAATCCTCAGTATTGAAAAGAAAATAGAAATAAGTTCACAATAGTTAATAACACTAAACTCTAAAAAAAAATACTAAACTCTAGAAGACAATGATGTAATACCCTCAAACTTCTATATACAAACTGTCAAGCAGACATCTAAAAACTCTCAAAAATTTGTCAAGAAACTACTAAAAGAGCCACTTAAAGACAATGGAATGAATAATGAAATAAGCCGAGAAAGATAAAAGACATTCAATACAAAAAAAAAAAAAAAAAAAAAAAGACAAATGCAAGTTCCTAGACAGTGAAAAGAAATACCAAACCCAACAGATAAAATGAGGTGCAGCATTAGTATTTCACTACAAGGTAATGAAAGTTCTAGAGAGGAAGTCTCTGAGGAAAAAAGAATATTACAAATTGCCAGGTTTGTTTGAAGTTAGTATGGAAATTTAATTATTATGGGGTTTTTTTGCAGACAGGGTTTGGCTTTATAGTTGAGGCTGGTCTCCAACTCTCTGTTATCACTCAGGCTGGCCTTGAACTTGTGGCAATCCTCCTGCCCCAGTCTACTGAGTGCTTTATACATATATATATATAGAAACTAAGGGGGAAAAAAACTAAGGTAATTACTAACTCCATGAAGATACCAAAAAGTTATAAAATAAACTATAATCATAGTATGTGATTCAGCTGTAATAATATTAAGAATATTAGAAAATAATATAACCAGACTTTGTAATATAACTACATTAGGTAAATCAAGGTAGGGAATGGGGGGGGGCAGTGCCAGTGTTTCCATAGTAGGAAGTCATTAACTAATGTCTCAGACAGAAAAAACAAAAAACAGCTTAGAATTACACACGGACATACTGGCATATCAGAAGGAAAAACAAGGATAATAGGGAAGTTGCTGCAAAGGTCTAGCAAGCATCAGTCTAAGTTGTGATGGAAGTGTGTAAGAAATCTTTAGAGGTACTAGAACTCCTGGTGGCTACTGTCACCTTTGGAGGAAGATAAAACCAGCAACTCTAGAGGCAATCAGAACTTTAAAGTCAAGAGTAAATTAGATTTGAGGGCACTGAGTAGTAAGTACATGCTGTAGAACAGGGCTGATCAAAACAGTTTAAATATAGAGATTTCTTTTGCTAGGTGCAGAACAGCTAGGAAAATGGCAAAGCTGACAAAAGATTAAGACAATAGTAAAGACTTGAATAAATGAAACATTTTTGTTCAGAGAATAGAGATGACTAGTTTTGTTCTAGAATAAACATAGATTTATTTTCTGTGTAACCTAGCTCAATGGAGTTTAACAAATATTCTTTAGGGTTCACAATTCAGGTAAAGAAACAAAAAAACAAATAGTTATTTGATTTCAAACAAAAATGTGGCCCAAGAAGGCCAGGGATATAGTTTAGTGGCCCAGCACCTACCTGACAAGCATGAGGTTCTGAGTTTGATTCCTGGTACCCAAAACAACAACAACAACAACAAAAGAAATGTGGCCCAAGAAATTCCATGTATTTTACCAGGAATGTCAGCTATTTGCAAGCTCCTCCAAAGAACAGAAAAGTCAACAAGATAGTGCTTGTGCTTGTGGCAGATTGAGCTTTTCAACAACAGCCTCAGCAATATCTCCATTCACACACATTCTTCCACAACCATGCAACACTGCAAGAGGTGAAATCTATGTGCTTCCCTAGAACAGAGGGACCTGCCTACCTTGGAAAACAGAATGCAGCAAAGGTGATAGTGTGTGCCTCTCACAGCTGTCCTAAAGGCTGCATGATTCTCAGCTGCTCCTTCAGTTTCATGGAATGTCAACTCTGGACCCAGACACCATATTGTGAGGAAGCACAATTAACCAAGTGGAAAGACCACATGACAAAACCTACGTGAGGGGTGAACTGGAGCCTAGTGTGGCTCATGTTCTTGACTGTGAACATTAACATCATACGTGCTCATCGCATGCCACTGAGTTTTAGGATAATTGGTTATGCAGGCATTACTAACCAATGAGTATTTAAGTAATTTAAAACCCAATGAGGGCTTGGGGGTATAGCTCAGTGGCAGAGTGTATACCTAGCATGAACAAGTCCCTACGTTCAATTCTATTTGTCCTCCAAAAAAAAGCAAAGAGATAAATAAGGACATAATACTTAATATAAATGAGATATGAATTAACAGGGTATGATGACAACTATACTATATGTAAATTAAGAAGCTTGGGAGAGGAACAAAGTATTCTAGTTAGTGGTAGAGTAGTGCAGGGAAAATGGGAAATGTTTCACAGAAGTACCGTGAGGTAGACCCAGACAGAACTTCTTTTGGTTTTTTGAGACAGGGTCTAACTATGTAGTTCAGACTGGCCTTGAACTCACAATGTAACCCAGGCTGACCTTGACTATGCAGTGATCTCCTATCAGAGCCTCCTAGGTGCTGAGATTACAGGCATGCATCACTATGCCAATTCTCTAGAGACAGAACTTTGAAAGGAAATAATACAAGGAAAAGAAAGGTAAGACAGAGCTTGATCATACTGATCTTAGAGATAAAAACTCATAATCTTTAATAGGTGAACAGATCAAACTATTTGCAGGACATTTTAAAGAAACATTACACAGGGAGAAAGTGGACTTCTAGAGACTGACTTCAATCACAGGAAACTGTTAATCTCCGTGCTGTTTTAATTTTTACACAAAGGGCATGAGCCAAGCCTATGAAAGAAGCCACTTATCACTGCTTCTTTTGATGTGCTGGCCAAGACAAAAATCAGACCCTTGCTTGCTCATTGCTCCAGACTCAATATCGTTTTAATGACAGCAATTCTCCATGATTAGCATTCTTTGGATTTTTAGCAGTGATTTATAAGGAACCTTTAGTCTAAACCAAAATGAAAGGAGTCAGCACCTAATAACAGTCATGAAGACTTGAGTAAATTCATTAGCTGCTTTGATGACTGAAATTTATCCCCAACTTCTCTGATAAAGACACAATTATGTCCATAGGCATCAGGCTGATGAGCAGGGAAATAATTATTACTTACCAAAATGAATTGAAACACTTGGCTCTTTCAGCCAAGCAGTAGCCTGAAAGGAGGAACTCAGCTGCTTCTGCAACAATGACTCACTTTTGACTTGGGCTCTCTCCCATGACTGAAGGTTTTCTGTTCAAGTTTTTAGGCAGGTAGTGCTTAACGACTCAGAAACTTTAGGATTTCTGTTCTCCTCACCTCATAAAACTTTTTCAGGGCGCTCACCAGGCAGAGCTTCAGACTGTCCACAATCTCCTGATGAGGCATCTGGAATACCACTCGTGAATACCATTTAGTGAGGGTCCTATGGTGGGCCAGAGAAGAGAGGAGAGAGGAAGATGAACAGATACACAGGAAGCCCATGGTCTGTATGTCAGCACACACGTCAGGTTTATCTCTGAATCAACCGAACAAGTATCTAGAAATTGCGTTTGTGTTATAGAACATGAAGTGATAGGGGAAGATATATTTGAGCCATAAACAGAACACACAAAAATGTATAATTGTGGATATTTCCTATGAAACTGCCTCCAACAGAAAAATTTTAACCATATAACCACCAACAGAGGATTAAGTTAATAACAATATAGGATATGATAAATTCTGTGTAGCAGCTAAAAAGAATTGGGACTTGCTCGTATCAATAGGGGAAAATATTCAAAATATAGTTTAAGTACATAAAGCAAGCTGAGAAACTATGCATAGTATTATTTCATTTGTGTAAGTAAAAACACATGTGTATGTCACACACACATAAATATACATATACATATACATATATATACCACCATGTGCGATATCACATTTCAGTCAAGGACAAACTGCATATGTTATGGTGGTCTCATCACTTCTTGGCTAAGATCAAGTGTAGTATGATGGTAGTCTCATAAAATTTTATAGCCCAGTGATGTTTTGGCACCTGAGTGTGTATATGATTTTCCTACAATGATAAAATCCCGAGTGACATATTTCATGTGTGTTAATAAATGCATAAAAGAGAATCTATTATGTATAGATAATTGATATATATATATATATATATATATATCAATTGTATATATATATATATATACATCAAACCTTGGATAGTGGTTTGACGTGTAGGTCATGAGGAATTTTCATTTTCTAGTTTCTGCAGGTATATAGAAGGAGCACACCTTGTCTTTACAGTTAGAACAAACAAAAAATTTTACTCATTTCTGGGGAGAATAAAGCTCACAATGCAAGGCACAGCCTCCATCCTTGCAAGAGGGCATACTGCAGTAGAAAACAAACTCACATCTCTGGCCAGGCATAGTAGCACTCACTTATAATCCCAGCACTCTGGGAACTAAGGCAGGAGGACTGCCAGAATTCGAGGCCACCCTAGACTACATCATGAGTTCAGGGCCAGTCTGACTTATACTGTGAGACCCTGTCTCAAAAAAACAAACCAAAACAAAATACCTTTACCTGTAACAAGTTTGATAAATAACCTGCATAAACAAATATCAGAGGAAGACAAGAGGAAGGAGTTTAGAACTCTCTATATTACAATTTGTACTACTCAAAAATATCTACTAATTTATTATTAGATTAGGCATCAAAAGTAGATAGCCAAATATACCAGAAATATGAATAGCACTTACAGATTGATGCTTGCAACAAAGCCAACCACAGAACGCATGCCTCTGCTGGGGTCATGGTAAACATCCATTCCAATCACCATTAATTGTTTCTAGATTAGAAAACAAAATAGCAATCCAGAATTCAAACAATCCATCACACTATCTTGAAACATCATCTGAATGCTTGTTTCAGCAGCACATATACTAACATTATCATCAGAGTCCCACAGAAACCACTTCCTACTGTTTATAAATCAAAGCAGGTCCTGGGAAAGAAAGACTGCTACTCATTAGACATTTTCTTTACTTTTCTTCTTTTATTACAAGGTCTCTCCACGTAGTTCAGGCTAGCCTCAAACTCACTATATAGCCCAGGATCGCCTGAACTCATAGCGATCCTCTTAGCTTTGCCTTCCACGTACTGGGATTACAGCTGTGTGTCACCATGCCTGGCCTTCAATTGACATTTTCTTTTTCTTTTTTTAAGAGTTGACAAATTCACTGGGGAAAAGGAATGGTAAATAGTAATGGGAAATAAGAATAGCTCCTGAAACAGGAGCGGTCCCAAATGGGTTGCCAACTTGATGTTTTCTAAACACAATGAACAAAGACCAAGATCCAGACTAGGGATTAGCTAACTTTATGTGAAAGGGTTAGAGAGTAAATATGTTGGGCTTTGTGAATCAGTTTCTGAAGGAAGTATTCAATTCTGCCTTTCTATATCAAAAACTACTACTCACTGTACATAAATGAATATGGCTGTGGATTCATGAAAATGTATTAAGGACACTAAAAAAAGAAATTCATGTAATTTCCATGTGTGATGAAACAGTGGTCTTATTTTTATATTTTCTGCCATTTAAAAATGTAAAATCATTCTTAGTTCACAGATGAGTGATCCAAAACTAGCCAATTAGACTTCCAAGTAAGCACTTGGAGACAACTATAGAAACAGGCAGGATTCTCTGAAGACCCGAACTGAAGAGGTATCTCAGCATCACTCACCAGAGGAATATCTACGCCCCAGAGTTCCCCGCCCAATTTACAGTTAATCTGAAGTAAAATTTTCTGAGCCACACTCCGAAGTCTGGTGGGCTGACCAATGGTTCGAACATTGATGACCTATAATGAAAGAACCAAAACATACAAAGAACCACTCAGAAAATATAAATAATTCTAAAGCAAATACAGTAGTCTTTTTGGATCCAGGCTCCCCCTCCCCACCTCCAGATATCATTATCCAAGGATACATAAGTTCCTCACATACAGTAGCATAGTGTTTGCACGTAACCTGTATAATTCTCCTATATACTTTAGATTACTTATAATACCCTACACAGTGCAGTTGCTTTTCAAATAGTTTAGAAAATACAAGAAAGTACATGTTCAGCACAGATGCAATTTTTCTTTCTCAATATTTAAGACTTATAGTTGGTGAATTCACTGATACAGAACCCATAGATGTAGACCATATTACATTTGTTTAAAAAATTCAAGTTAGCAGATAGTATGTTTCATATCAGTAATTCTAATTTTAGGGTCTTTATGTATACATTCACCACACACACACATACACATATGCACATGCACACACTACAAACAAAAATCAACAAATGAACAATAACAACAAGTGTCTTATGCGAGTAGATTTTTTTTAATTCCTTAAAAACAAGCAAACACAAACAGCTTTCCTTTTTCAGAGTGAAGTCAACACTCTCAGAACTCAGTCATGAGAAACTACCTGGCAGCTCAATTGCTGGGATAACGAGACACTTAGAAGAGCTATGTACCTATTACTACTCTGACTGCAAACCCTTTCACAAAAGACACTACACATACTGGCTTCTAACAGTTACTTCAGTCTTCTGAGTATGTACCCCTCCTCCCAAGCCTCAGCTGCCTTGCCTCCTGGCCCCACCCACCCCACTCACCTGTGAGGGCACCGGGGACTGCACACAACACAGCTTCTTGATGGCCCCATAGAGATCATCACGTGTGCCCATAATGATGCAAACAACTACCTGGATCTTACCCTTGAAGAGAGAAAGTATATACAATCAGGCTTCAGAACTATGAGGGGGTGTTCATCGGAATGAGTCTGCCAAGCCACAAGGTCTATGGAGGTAGACAGGAAATTAACAGAAAAGTGTGGACATTCCAACCAGAAAAAGGCCTGAATCTGAATGTATCTTTGGCTCCGAACTGCCCTGCAAAATAAATATTCTGTCACTATTAACTACCTAGAATTGGTCTTGATTACCAAAGATTTATTTACTTGGAGAATTTAGATTCTGGAAAAGGACTAGGCTTAAAAATATACCAGGGTTACACTACTTGTTGATTTTAATTCTCTACCATGTTGTATATCACTATCTTTAGTTAACTAAGCAACTTATCACCTTCATCTCACAGAATCTTAACTGAGAAAACATGGAATATGATAGTATAAGAAGTGATTCAGAGCCAAATGCAGGAGGGGTGAAGCTACTGCCAAATCAACAGTAGCCATTTGTACTCTGGTTAGGTACAGAATGACTATGCCAACAGCATCTTCTCTCACTCACTACTCAAGAGAATTAGTGCTGAAGACAGGATCTCCCAAAATTTCTAGCACTCAGCCCTTCATGCCAGACACTGCTATCCACTGCAAATTTGTAGCATACTACTTCCTAATCAAGACTGGCACTATCAATTCTCAGAGAGCAACGATCCAGTGATTACATCAGACAATTTCTAAAGTCAAGTTGAACCTAGGCTTCATGCTAAGACCAGGCGGCTGGGCACTGCAAATATGTTTTCAGCCCCAACAATGATTGACCAGTTTGCTTTTTGTTTTCATTTGAAACATAATCTTGCTATGTAGTTCAGACTGGCCTTGGACCTACAGCAATCCTCCTGTAAATTTGGTTTCCTATGTACTGGGATTATAGGTATGTGCCCCCATCATCAGTTTACAAATCTGTTTTTAAATTACATTGAAACACCAGGAAGTTAATACATACACAAAACCACGTTGTTGGTTTCCAATGAAAAATGATGAATTAAAAATCTATTTGGTATCTGGGCATTAGGGTTCAGAACTAGAACCCCAAACTCTCATGGGTTCAAATGGGTTTAGGGGAGGGCTGCTGAAAGTGACTGAATCATGGAGACATGAAGCTCATCAATGGATTAGTGCACTGATGAGCTCACAGTTAAAAGTACTGTAAGGAGGTAGGACATGTTGGGAGGAGGTGAGTCACTAGGGTGTGATTTGGAAGGGTGTATTCCTGCCCCCTGCTCCCTTCTCAGCTTCCTAGCTGCAGTGGGTTAAGCAGTGGTCCTCTACCTGTCTCAAAAAAATTTAAATAGTCAAGTAATGTAAAAGACATCCTAGCGGGGGATTTAGCTCAACAGCATAAGCACCTGCCTGGTAAGTACTAGGTTGTAAGTTCAGGGCCTAGCACCAAAAAAAAAAAAAAAAAAAAAAAAAAGAGAGAGAGAGAGATCCTATAAATGTAATCAAATTAATTATTATTTTTTTTTTTTGAGTCAAGGTCACACTATGTGCTAGGGCTGGCTCGAATTCATGGTGATACTCCTGCCTTAGCCTTCCCAGTGCTGGGATTACAGGCATATGCCCAACTCAAATTAATTTATTACCTCTACTCCAAGCATAGATTGAATGGTTCTGATATAGGTCTCTATTCGGTCATCCTTCAGTTCAACCCAGGCTGGTGGACTCACGTGCATGCCAATTGGGCCAGCTATTTTCTCTAACATGTTGACCAATTCTCTGGCCTGATCCATTGCTTTCTTTGGGTAAAAAAGTGCCCAAAAGTGCATGGGAATCTAGGAACAATCATAAGGTATTTTTAGTGCTCACAATTTGAACATTCCAAACTCATACTCAGATTTTATTATACAGCATAAATGACTTTTCACTCCTTCTGAGTCCTGTCTTACCTAATTTTTACTATTCATGCAGATGTATAAGTAAACTGTGACATAGTCTCACAATAAGACACTATATACTAATGAGAATGGAAGATCTACAACCATATACCTAACAATATGGATGAAACTCAGGAATACAAAGTGAAGAGAAGCAACCAGACAAGAAAGAATGGTCACTCTATGATTTTACAAAAATACAAAGTACAAAAAACAAACCAAAAACAACAACAACAACAACCAAAACCACACAGCTAAAATGAACCTACACAGTTGCCAAGTCAGAAGAGTGGTTACTCTCAGTGCGGGGGCAGCAATGGGCAGGTGGTAGTTAAGAGTGTGCAGGAGGGCTTTTGTAACCCTTGGTGGTGATTACTCTAGTCATTTAATTTGTGAAAGTTGATTGTATGTGTGCTTTTTATTTACATACATTTCAATGTTCTTTTCAACAAATATATGTATTTTATTTTATTTTTTGTACCGGGATCAAACTCAGGACCTTGCACATACCAGGCAGGAGATTATGCTGCTGAACTATATCCCCAGCAATGCATGTACTTTATACATGGCCACCAAGATCAGGTTAGTCAGAAACACTTAGAAATAATTATATACAATTTTGTTCTATCAGATAAATAGCTAATGTATGAGTTGATGGGCAGGAGGGGTTACTGTTTTTACTTCTTTTACAGATACCCTCAGAGAAAGAGAGGAAAAAGAAAGGCAGAAAAAATGGTGGTAACAGGCTGCTACTAGATTAATTACTATGGAAATGGACATCCTTCCCTTCAGTCTATGGTTAGTCAGAGTGCTTTCTCTGAACAATCCCTCCTACTGCTCTGTTGGAAGGACCCTTTTCTAACAGGTATCTTAGAAGGGACTTAACTGGTATGTTCTCTCAAAAAGAGGATATTAGATCATTCCTGTTTCCTAATTTTAATACACTGAAGAATACTAGGCCTCTCTTTATCATTTTAAAATTACTCACAGTCAAGATGGAAGGGTCTCTGGTTACTTCCTTTACAAAGCTTAGGTCCTGAGATGTGATAAATGAAGTATTTCTTAAATTAATTCTTTCCATTGGTAAAACACGTCCTTCAATCTAAGTAGAAAATAAAGTATCTATGAAACAAGTCATCTACAAATACTACTCAGGAAATACTGATACTGTTGTCTACTTATGCCTGTTATAATTTCTGGGAATTACAGAAAAACAAAACTTCTACAAGCCAGAGTCCATATTAATCAAAACCTAGATAACATACAGGTAAAATGCTTACAGGTGTTATTCTTTCATTACTGAGTTTCCAACATGGTATCCTAAGAAAGGGATTCAAAAATTCTCTTTAGAACCAATGAAAAATATTTAAGATGCTGGGCATGGTGGTGCACAACTGTAATCCTAGCACTCAAGAGGCAGGAGGACTGCTTTATTTGAGGCTAGCCTGGGCTACAAATGAGTTCAGGACCGCCCTAACTACACAGTGAGACCCTGTCTCAAAAAAAATTTTTTTTAAAGAGACATTGTAAAAAATTAAAGGCAAAAGTATTTAATAAAGCTAAACATAGGCCACATGCCAGGCTATTTAATTCTTTTGGTAGTGCTGGAGACCAAACCCAGGGTCTTGTACATGTTGCTAGGCAAGCACTTTACCACTGAGCTACACCCTCAGTCCCTATTTAATTCTTTACTTTTTATTTATTATCATTATCAGTACTATTAATTTGGTTTTTGAGACAAGGTCTCACTACATAGTTCAGGCTGGCCTTGAACTCACTATGTATCCCAAGCAGGACTTGCACTTGCAGTATTCCTCTTGCGTCAGCCTCTTGAGTGCTGGGATTACATGCATGTGCCACCACAAAGGTGAAGTCTATTCTCATTTCACACATAAGGAAAGAAAAGATGCTAAGTAACTTGCTCAAAGTAACCCAAATTACAAAGTTAACAGCCTGGGATTCAAATCTAGGAAAGCTAACACCAAAATGCAATCCCTCCCCACCATCTTATGCTATTTCTGCACTGTGGATCGTGCTTGCACAAAATACAACACTGCTGACTTGGACAACCTTCAGGTGGGAAGGGCCGTGGGAAATTAGACGACATGAGCTGGAAACTCTGATGTCTAAGGAAAAAATAACAGTAGTACATTCAAGGGAATATAAATTAATTACGGAGAAAGAAAAAAGCTTGGGAGTGGGAAACAAAGAAAAAAAAGAACATAAAATTTTAAAAAATAATTTGGTTTGGCAATAACAAATGTTGATGGGGCTATGGGGAAAAGGCCATCGTTGGACTGTAGACTGCTATGAGGAGATTCAACAAAATCAAGGACTGGGGTTCCTTTGACCCAGCTAGTCCCCTTCTTGGTATCTTCCCAAAAGAATTAAAAGCATTAATATCAGAGCAATGTATATATACTCAGGTTTATAGTGGCACAGTTTGCAATAGCCAAATCTTGGAAACAGCCCAAGTGCCCATCAACTAGTGAATGGATAAAGATGTGGGTTTTTAAATACAATGGAGTACTACTTTGTCAAAAAGAAGGATAAACTCAAGACATTTCTAGGTAAATGGACACACCTGCAGACCATACATATGTAAATACTGAATTGTTTCTCTGGTGTGAGAAACCTAAAGTGTAAATAAGGACCAAAATATGTAACAGGTATTGTGAAATACGAAGAAAATGTTCAAATGGGGAGGGAAGAGAATGGGTGAGGGGAAAATGAGAAGGAAAAACTAAAAAAGTGAGAAAAGAAGGAACAATGGGAACAAAGCTTTTGTAAATGGGAAGAAGAGGGGTTGAAAGGAGAGTAGAGAAATGGGAAAAAAGAAACATGTACAGGTACAAATTCTCTATGATGAATATGGTCATTATGTATATCTAAAATGTATCAATAAAATCTGATTGGAAAAAATTTGTTTTGGAAAACTAAAATGAATTGCAACTCAATACTGAATCCTCTTATTACCTATATGATGAGAAATTAAAAGCTAAGACCTGAGAAATACAAAGGAAAAATCTGTAAATGATAAATGTCCAGCAAATTTAAGTATCAGGTCTGGAATTAAAAATAAAAAGGTACAAGAATAAAGGAAGGACACCCTCCATACTAAAGACAAGTTAGGATTTGTCAGTTTGCCTTACGTGACTCTAGAACTCTTGGTCAATGCCGATTCCTGGGCATCATATTTCTTGATTACCTTGTGTATGTCCTTTTGCAGACAAAGTCCCCAACGCAACAACTCATTGTTAGCTGTCTCGTTCTTTGAAATTCTCTGGATTAGGCATGCCAAAGCATTATGGTGCTGTTTGGGGCTCAAGTTGATCTGCTGGGTCAAATCCTAAACAGAATTAAAATACAGACAATAAGCTGCAAATATTACTTTCTCCAATATGAGGGGAAGTAAACATCAAATCACCTGAAATGTTTACAAAAGAAATGTCCTTCCCATTGAAATAAGTGGAAATTTTCAAGTATTGCCATGAACTTTTGTAAGTATCTCTCAGGAATGTGAATGAGGTATAGGGATAAAAATTTAACATTAAAAGCATTTTAAATGTTAGTGGCTCTTACTCATGGCAACTGCCTTATCTCGTTTTCAAAGCATATAGCATTTAAAATTCCTAAGAGTTTCTATTAAACATAAGCAAAGGGAGTTAAATTATACTTATTTAAAATGTGGTATAAGCAAGAGAAAAAGAGATACCAGGATCTGCCTACAATAGAATAGTAAAAGCCACTTCAGTGCTACACTTGGTCAAACTACACTAGTCATTCAACAGCATGAGAAGGCACTTTTTGCCCAGAGCTCGCCACAGTATTGACTCATCAGAGGTGCTTGCTAGCTGCTACCAAGCAGTATGTAACAGGTGCATATGAAGATTCTGAATCATGTAAAGCCATTCTTTATTTGTTCTTTGAGACTAATAAGTTATACAGCTGCTATCTGGGATATCTATGGGGCTATATAGATAACTTTCCTCTCTGATCATAAAGTTAGCAGGCAATGGTACCTATAAAAGTGCCTTCACATACTCAAAGCAGAAGTATCAGAAGGTAAACATGAAAGAAAGAAATTTCTCACAGGAATTTTCAGCTTTACTTCATGGTCTTTATGATGTTACTAAAAATTCTATATGATCTATGATCTAGTTCAGTGGTGTCAAACCTATGGCATGTGGGTTGCAGCAGGTTGCTTGTTACCACTGAAAGCTCTGAAAGGTTACCATCATTGAAGTTGAAATAAGGCAAGTGAGAAGGCAGAGTAAGTAGCTCCAGCATAGACACCCCTGAGCAGCAGACAACAGGTAGAGGCTCAGCTGTCTGCTGTGTGGAGTAACCATTGAGCCCATTTCCACCCTTTAGCCTATTCCACCAGAAGCTAAGCCTGACACTCCCAGGACCTCAGAACATCTATGGTGTCCCAGGATGCCATAATCATCTATTCTCATCTTTCAATTTGCTGATATTTTGCTTCACTGTCTCCTCCACACTTCAAAAGAAACTGAAGGTTTACAGAAATGTTACAGTAATTTAGGACCCTTAAAGAACCTCATTTATGGTCACATCACCAGTTACTCATTTCCTATGTAACTGGGGAGGATGAACAGAGGGTTATTTGTTTCTTTTTTCCTTATAATCCCATCCCTTCACTGTTCTAACAACCCTCAAAGGTAGTTATGACACGCATTTTCACATTACATGGAAAAGGACACAGATCCTATTTCACAGTGGGAAAACTGGAGCATAGAAGAAAGATGATAATGCAATCTAGAGTCAGAGAGAACCTGGCCCAGTTCTAACTCAGACTGCTACTCAAAAAGTTATGGTTCAAAGCTAATGTCTCTCTTTTGCAAACCACAGGATTCCAACCTTCATAGCTCTGAAGTCCTTCTTCATCTTCTCTGGAATCCCAGTCATGAAGGAAAGCTCAGGCAAAAGCAGGATTTCACCTTTTAGCAGCTTTGAAGAAAAGCACAGAAAAAGTGAGGCAGTTATGAGAGGACAGTGCTGGGGCTGAGGATTTAGCTCAGCGGCATAAGCGCCTGCCTTGCAAGCAGGCAGTTGTCAGTTCGATCCCTGGTACCGATAAAAATGAAAAACGGGGGGGAAAAAAAAAAGAGAGGACAGTGCTTCCCTGGCCTGCACAGAACAGTCCAGTCTGCAGTGATGAAACTTGCCACTGAAGAGCATAAAACCCCAGAAAAGAGAACAGGGAAACAGTACAAACATTTTTGTCCATTTTTCCACTCAGCCACAATGCACATAGGTAGAGGGAAAAATATAAAAGTGTCAAAAGAGCAGGGAAAACTACAAAATCAACAAAACAAACCTAATTCTGTCCCTCTGGGGGCTCAAGATAATACATCCTAACAAGCTATATTCCTCACGTTAAACCTACCTTGCCTTAGCTATCATTATTATTATTATTATTATTATTATTATTTTGTACTACAGACTGAATCCAGGGCCTTCTCTCTGAGCTATATCCTTGGCCCATTTAAAAAATTTTAAAGGTATTGGTGAATTGCCCAAGGTGGGCATGACCTCACACTCCTTGTGCCTCAGCCTCTCAGAGTGCTGGGATTACAGGCATGGGCCACCACGTCCAGTTCTCAGTCTTCACAGAGAATCAGGTGGCAGGGCATCTTCCTGGGACCTACCCCTGCTAAAATATATGTTTATACTTTCTTTACTTGGACTAGAAGTTTTAATCTTCATACACAAGAAAATTTCCTTACTCCTTAGGCCCAAATTAATGTGTTTATTTAGATCCTCTTCAGAGGACTTCAAAAGCACATCTTCCCAGTACACTGTGGTACTTCTGGCTAGATAAGAAACAAAATGCTGTGTCCCCACCACATTCATCATGGAGACTGAAGAAGGCTACAAGTGGCTGACACATCACAGGGCTTCTGCTGGAAGTATGAGCCTAACATCCTCACTCACTCACCGTCCCATGTTTATTCTGTCTCTCACTGGGCCTGTGGATCAGCAGTGGTTGGTCCTCTTCTTTAACTGTGATCCCATAGTTTTTCCTAAAGTACAGCAGAGGCAGGAAAAATTTGGGAAGCAGTATCACTACTCTTATAGCATTCCATACTGACTCTATTAACCTCTTAACCAGATTGAGGCTCATAATCTGCACAATACTTTTGGTCAAGGATACATCAGAAACATATAATTCTATGTTATAGTACAATGGTATTTCCATTTACAAGCTTAATTCTTAAACTATGAGTCTGGTTGCAGAATGTGGTTGCAACCAGAACTTGGACCAGAATCGTGAAAAGAATTATGTTTGTAAACTGAGGCACCACTGTATAATTATCACTGGAAAAAGTAGTCTCAAATAACATTAAAGTAGAGGAGAACTAATGCCAAAAGTCCTAGAAAGAATATGTTAAGAACTACATTAGACTAAGGAGGTCAGTTAGTAGTACAAGTGAAATTATAGCTTTGGTTAGGTTTTGTTTTTGTTTTTGTTTTGAGACAAGGTCTCATTATGTAATTTAGGATGTCTCCTTGAACTCACTATGTAGCCCAGGCTGGCTTTGAACTCAAGGCAATCCACCTGCCTCAGCCTCCCAAGTGCTGGGATTACAGGCGTGTACCACTACACCTGGCTTGCTAGTTGAATTATTAATGACTTTAATTTAATCTCTCCCAGACTTCTAACAAAATCAACAAAATGAATACAATTAAAAGCCTGAGATTAATTTATGTAGTAAATTTCCAACATACTAAAAAAACAAATTGTAAGAGTAGTGCATTTAGGTCAAATCCCACAAACAAGCTCAATCTTCAGCACATTAGCAATCTAATTATTTTAAAGTGTCAACTTTCATGCTAGATGGAACTCAATATTCTCTAGAGAATGGAAGACTATGCCTGACTCTGCTCCCTCTTAAGCCCAAACTCATCTCTTCTTTCTACCTGTAGTATTCCAGGAATGTGATCTCCTTTCCATCAGACATTGTGAAGCTGTCCTTTGGAGTCTTGTTCCAGTCCACATCATCAATCCGATAGGTACGATTATTGTATCGGGTTATAACAATATTGCCAACCAGAAGTTTACTGCACTCATCCTGGAAGTTTTCTTTGTTCTGCTGGTACATGGCATGCCTTTAAAAAGAGGCAAAAAAGACTTTGGACCACACTTAGACACACAGGGCAATAGGAAAAGGACAGGAGACTCAAGAAATTAATTTATGAATTTAATGCCGAGACTGGGCAACTTAGCAACCTAGTGAAACCCTGTCTCAAAACAAATGAAAAATTTTAAAGGACTAGGGATACACTCAGTGCAAAGGCCTGGGTTCAACCTCCCCTAAAGGATGGGGTTCTGACATCTTTTAAACATGACTCCCCAAAATCAAACAATGTGAAAGTTAAAAACTATTAACAGATCAAACAAAGTGAAAGTTAAAAACTACTAACAGATCCCTGGTACCATTAAAAAATTGTATTAGCAGCAGCAAAAACAAATTCATGGGCCAGGGATTTAGCTCAGGGGCGTTAGCACCTGCCTAGCAAGCACGAGGTTGTGAGTTCAATCCTCAGTACCAAAAAAAAAAAAAAAAAAAAAAAAAAAAAAATCATAAAATTCATTGGTTTTGTTTGTTTGGTACTAGGGATCACTCATGACCTTATACTTGCCAGGCAGATACTTATGCCACTGTGCTAAATATCCAGCCCTAAATTTATTGTATTTTGTGAAGTATTTTTATCATTAAAATAACTGTTATTCTGTATCATGAGTATTAGGATACAGACTGAAAGAGCTGCCAGAAAAGTATTTCTTAAATTGCATTTGCCCCTCACCTTTTAATCTTTTGAAACATAGTTTTACTATGTAGTTCAAGCTGGCCTTGAACTAATTTTGTAACCCAGGTTGGTTTTAAACTCCCATAAATCCTCTTGCTCTAACCTCCTGAGTGCTGGGATTACAGGTATGCGCCATGCTTTTGCCCTTTTTTGGCACAGGCAGAAATTACTGTACCACAGCCGATCACAAGGCTGGCAGGCACTGGTTATGATGCAGAGATAAGTAAATATCCTCTCCAGGAATCTGTGTAACACAGCTGTGACCAAAATAGTACCAGAGACTCACAGATAGAACATATGAAGATAGCCAGTAGTCAGGCAATGTTTAGAGGCAGCTGTCACAGAAAGGAGCCAGGTGCTGCAGAAATTGCTGGGACAGGAACACCGGCAACATTCTGAGCAGCAATTAGGATTAAGGGGGGTGGGGTGGGACTCTTTCCTGTAGACCAGTGTCCCCATCAAGATTTATAGTCCCTGAAAAGCCTGTGAGGGTGAAAAAAGCACCATAGTTTAAAAAATTGAGCCTATTCTGCCCCTTCTTAGACGTACAGTTCACGGACTACATTAAGTTCCGAAAAGTGCTAGAGTACAGTAATGACAGATCCCTGCCCACCCTTTTACTGTTTATCTTATAAAATCTCTAGCACCAATCACAGCAATTAGGATGCAGAGATTGCCTTCAGAAAGACAGCAATAAGTGAAAAGTCATCAGAGACTTGAACAGCATAAAACTGACAGACCAGTGAGCCAAACTGGCAGGGTTCAAATCTTGGAGCTACTGCTTATTACAACTTGTGACAACTTCAGCAAGTTATTTATCCTCTTTGTGCCTCAGTTCCTCATATCCAAGTGGGATTAGTGCCATCATCTAACTCATATGGAGAAAACAAAATGACTTTATAAAGCACTCAGCCCTGTGCCTATTACAAAAGAACTATGTGTTTGCAAACATCATCATTGCCATTAATATCAATAGTGCTTACTACAAACCAGCTGCAGCATGTATATGTTTGACATTTTAAATGAACAGATTTTTTAAATGATTTAATAAGGCCTACATCCAGGCATGGTGGCACATGCCTATAATCCTAGCACTCAGGAGGTTGAGGCAGGAGGATTAGCACAAGTTCAAGGCCAGCCTGGGCTACATAAGCAATTTCAAGTTTGTACACAAAAGCTCACAATAGAATTATTTCTAACAACTGAAAGGTGAAAACAATCCAAATGTCCATCAATTAACAAATAGGTAAGCAAAATTTGGTGTGTCCATACAGCGTAATACTATTCGGCAATGAAAAAGTAATAAAATACTGATGAGGTTGTAACCTGTTTGGATCTTGAAAACACTATGCCAAGGGAAAGAGCACTACACAAATTGGGATGGAACTGAGATTGTGTTAAACAAAATAAGCCAAACTTAGGCAAGTATTGCATGTTCTCCCTAATATATGGAATCTAAAAAAGATGACATGAAAATTAAAAAGGGAGTAAGGTAGAGGTGGGTGTAAGGGAGGGTAACGGGGGATGGATATGATTAAACTATACATATTGAAGCCCAATATTTTGTAAAATTAATAGGCACTAATAAAACATAATTTAAAAAGTACAGGCAAGCCAGGCAAGGTGGCATACACTTATAATCCCGGTACGGAGGGAGACTAAGGCAAAAGGATCAAAAGTTTGAGTCCTACCTATAAAATTTAGCAAGACTTTATCTCAAAAAAGGTGGGGGTATGGGCTGAGGGTATAGCTCAGTGGAAAAGAAGGCTACATTCAATCTCTAGCATCACCCAAAAAACATACAAGTAGAATCATTATCCAAAATTTGTACTGCTTATTGAAATCAATTTTAAAAAGCAACAGCAAAAATGGGGAAGGAATATTAGCAGATAAATACATCAACAACACAAAAATGTATTTGCAAGGCTTCTGGGAGAACATGGTGGACAGATAACAGCAGCTATGGAGGCTCTCTGAGATAGCCAGCTTAGAATCCAGGAATGGTGCGGTGTGAGGAGTCCTAAGCAAGGGGAGATATACCCTGCTGACCCAGGAACGAATTAACCTGAGAGAAACCAACTGGAAATGCAATCCCGGTGCTATAACTGGAACAGATAAAATTTCAGCACAGAAGCTGGAACCCATGCTTTTGGAAACTGCAATTTGAATTTCCTGCCGCTGCTGCGTCTGAATCGACACAGCAGAGAGAGAGAGAGATGCAGGAAAGCTCTGAGAGTGGGAATCAGTGAATGGAGTTGAGAGAGGGACTGGCAGGGAGCCCTGCATTGACCTGCAGTGAGTGAGAGGAACAGGGACCCTCCCATAGACTAGGAGGCTCCAACAGAGGACAGGGCAGACTAGCCAGAACAGGATGCTGCAGTGACTTTAGTCACATATTCCCCTCTCAAGAGGGATTGGTGGGGAGCACTTGGCCTGGGTGATGCTGCAGACTAAGACCCAGTAGGCTAGCCCAAACCAGATCCCAGCGCCTGGTGGTGCACTCTAGCAGTGAAGCCTTCAGTAGGCTGACGTGGAGGGGTGGGCCCAGAAGAGGCTGCCCAGGTCTGTGTCTCCCTAGCACACTGCAGTGGGCAGGAACACCTAGCTGGCAGATTCAAACAAAGTGTAACCGACAAAGAAAGAAACTGGGCCTCCTATATACGCTTGTATGGAAGGAAAAAAAGTATGGGAAGAGGGAACAACAAGAAAAGGTCCTCAGTCCCCAATCCTGAGAACACTGATCCAGGAAAGGTAAATGCAAAGGAGAATGAGGACAGAAAACATGCAATATCAGACACGGCACCAATAGACATAAAGCTGTATCTCCGGAGCTTCATAGATTAGTTCAAAAGGGAAGTATTTAACGAAGTAAAGCAAGATATAAGTTGAATAGTTAGAGAAATGCTAAGCACCACCCAAGAAAAAACAGATGGTGGAATAGAAGAACAGAAGAAAAGGGGAGAATTGTTTGATGGAGAAAATAGAAAAAATATAGAATATGTGAAGCAGGTTCAAAGAGATTACCAGGAAACTAACTCCTCTATTGAAAGCTGGCATAACAGCTTGAAAGAAACTAAGGATAGATTATTTGAACTGGAGGACAGATTTGTATTGTGGGGGCATGAAAGGAAAAACCTTCTTAAAAATAATAAGGAAACAAACAGCAATAATACAAAGGCTAAAAGATGGTAAGAGGATCTATAACTTAAGAATTAAGAACATAAAAGAAGAAGTAGAGATACAAACAAATGAACTACAAAGGCTATTCACAGAAATAATCTAGGAGAATTTCCCTAATTTAGCAAAAGGTAAAGATACTCAGATGTATGAGGCATACAGGACTCCAGCCACCTACAACCCAAACAGAACTACACCCAGGCATATAATAATCAAAATTCCAGAAATCCAATATAAGAACAGAATATTAAAAGCTGTCAGAGACAAGAAACATCACTTACAAGGGAACACCCATCAGAATTACAGCAGACTTCTCGGCACAAACCATCAAATCACGAAGAGTGTGGGGGGAAATAATTCAAGCTTTGAAAGATAATAACCTCCAGCCAAGATTGATATATCCTGTACAACTGCCCCTGAAATTGATGGAAAAACAAGGTGCTTCCAGGATAAAGAGGAACTAGGGGAATTTGCAACCACCAATTCAACTCTACAGAGAAGGATATTCTAAAAGAGAAAAATACCAAGATTCCAGAAACAGTGGCAGAGAGGCCACAATGAATGGAGCAGAAAGTGAAATGAAGAAGACAAACTGACAGCTAATGACAGAAAAAGAGCTCAACAGAAATGAGGCAGAGAAGGTTGGATGGTAGGAACAGCCATTTTGGAGAAAACAAGACATCATACATAATAGGTAGTGCTGATTTAATATCCTCTTGTTTTGAAGTCCCATCAAGCATTTGTTCTTCTATCTCCATCGGTCTTAACATGTTGTATTTTATTGGATTTTATTATATGTGATAATATAAACAAAAACTTTTATAGACAAGGTGATTATATAGAAACCACTGTTCATTTTCTGTTAGTTGATTCTAAATACCCTGTAATACTGTCATTCTCTTGAATGGTTTTACATTGTCTTGATATGTTTGATGCTATAATATACGAAGTTATACTCAAAGATTTCAAGGAAAGAGACACTATGGTAACTACTTTCATGTTGGGATATCTTGTGGCGAAACACTATTTTGCTTAAATGGTTATGTTTTGACCTGTGCTGTTTTGTTATGCCCTCTTTTATCTCAATCTCCTTTTTTAATTATTTACTTTTTTATCTTTTTAATTAAGGGAAAAATAAATAAAAAATAGCAGGATATATTATAGTAACCCACTTTGATTTCCTATTAACTTGATTTGAAACCCTGTATTGCTCTCACCATCTTGTTTTGACTGATTTTACTCTATTCTGTTTTGCTTGATAGTACCAAGTTCGAAAGTATAGGCAACAACTGTGAAGACAATAATATTCATTATGATGCCCATTCTGGTTGACTATTATCTTCTTTTCAAGTCCTGTAATGTCTCCAATGTTTTGGTGTTATTGGTTTTGTTCTGTACTATTTTGTTCAATTTTATTATAACTGATGATATAGGCAATTCTTTTTAAGATAGCAAGAGACATTATGGTAACCATTGTTGATCACCTTGTATTTTGTTTTTACATTATGTATTATGTTCATCCTTTTGATTTGACTGACTCTGTTTTGTTACGTCACATTTGGTTTTACTCTCTTCAAAAAAAGTAATAAGAACTGTGGGAGAAATAAAACCCAAAATGTGTAATTGTCATTGTACAAAAGAGAGGAAACGAAAGTGCTCTAAAGGATATAACTGCATGTATATTTCAGTGTATAAGATAGATAACCATATTACTGAGTTTTGTTGGATCATTGAACAGAACTGTTTGCAGACTCACTGTTTGAACGTCCACTTTATATGCTTTAATTTTGTAACTTGAACAACTATTTCTAAGATGACAATGTGTAACCTATTAACTAGTGATTTCCTACTGTTATTTTTTTTCTGAAATTCTGTATAACTTGTACCCTTTTTCTGTTTTTTTCTCCTTAAATAAAATTTTTTAAAAATGTATATGCAAGCAAAAGTATGTCCAATTCTGAAACTCAAATTAAAACAACAAAGCTAAAGCTTTTGACATTGGTTAGCAAAGATCAAAGACTGATATCAAGCGAGTTATGATACAGGAAATACTACATTTTAATATGTGGGAGGAGAGAATGAGCAAACTGTCTAGGTACCTTGGAGATCCATTTCAAAAGTATCTATTAAAAATGTATAAGCCAGGTGTGGTGGTGCAGGCCTGTAATCCCAGCACTCAGGAGGCTGAGGCAGGAGGACTGCTGCAAGATGAAGGCCATCTTGGGCTATTTTTGTGAACTCAAGGCCAGCCTGAACTACATAGCAAGACCTTGTTTCAAAAAATTAAAAAATGCATATAATTTATAAAAAATAAAGAAAAGAAAAAGATTACATGGGAGCCAGGATGTAACACAATGTTGCCCAAATAACAAAGGCCCTGCGTTTGATTCCAGCACAACAAAAAATATGTATTACATACATTGATACATGTATCACACATTATCTCATTTATATTTACTTATGTATTTATAGGCTTCTTATCTCAGAGTGGGTCAGGAATTCCACTGTAGGCTAGCTGAGTGTCTCTATTTGGGTTCTCTCAAGACAGTAGGAAAGGTTTTTGCCCTGGCTACAGTGTGTTAGGGCTTGGCTGAAGCAAGCTGTGCCTCCAACATTCTGGTGGGCCACTTTCCAGGGCTAATCCACAACATGGCAGCTGGCTGCCCCCAGGGCAAGTGACACAAGGACAGAGAGATCACTCTCCAGATAGAGACACAATCTTTTCATCATCTGCCCTTGGAACTGACATTTATCAGTCTATCATCTTCTGTTCTTTCAGACATGCCAGCTCATGTCTGAGCTGAGGCTGAGACATTAGGATTTCTCATGAGACATGAGGAAGCTGAGGCAGTAGGATTTCTGTAAGTCTGAGGCCATTCTACACTACATAGTGAATTCAAGGCCAACCTGAACTACACAGCAAGACCCTATCTCAAAAAACAACAGCAGCAAAAAAGTTGAGGCAGGTCAGGGAGTTCACCCCATTCTCAGGAAGAGGACTATTCAAAGGTCAGGCAGTATAAATAATGGGAAATGATTTTTTCCTTGACCAAACTCTTTTGAATTCTCTTACCAAACAAGCTCTAACTTTTGGGCCTCCATTTCATCACCTCATTATCCAGTTTTAGCTAGAATCCTAAATTGGTTTAGCCAGAATCCTTACCCTTCCTATCTGATCATCTTCCATATCTGATCAAAATCCTCACCATCTGCAAGGTAATATGGGGTTCCCAGACTCACCTGTAACAAAATCCCTTAGATCTATTTATCCAGAATCTCCCAACTCCTATTTCCTGTTAAAATTTTCCATCTACTGACCACTACAAGGACCTGGGTTCAACCCCAGCATTCCAAAGTAAATAAAAACCCCAAATAGAACAGTGTAACAGTGTTGGGGCTGGGGGTTTAGCTCAGCGGCATAAGCGCCTGCCTTGAACGCAGGCAGTCATGAGTTCGATCCCTGGTACTGATAAAAAGGAAAAAGACAAAACAAAAAACAAACAAACAAAAAAAACGTGTAACAGTGTCTAATCTGTATTATGACCAGCTATTACCAAACCTCTCCAAAATTCATGCTCCTTGGTTATAAATTCCCACTCTTCTTGTATTCAGAGTTGAATCCAGTTTCTCTACTCTACTGCAATGGTCCCTGAACAAAGTCTGCCTTAACGCTTTTTAACAAATATAATTTTTTTCTATAACAGAAACTACAACTAGATATGTTATAGTAAAACTTCTAAGATGAAAATTTTTTAAAAATTTAAAAGACAGTAGTAACACTGGCAGTTGACTTGTTAAAAGAAATAATGTAAACTGGAAGATAATGTTTTTGTTTGTTGGTTGGTTGGTACCGGGAATCAAACTCACAACTTTGCACTTGCCAGGCAGGCACTGTGCCTCTCAGCCATAGCCCTGGCTCAATTAGAAAATAATGGAATAGTTTCAAAGTGCTCAAAGAAAATATCTTTCCAGCAGGCTGAGACATGAGGACTGCAGGTTCAAGCCCAGCTTGGTTAATTTAGCTAGACCCCCATCTCAAAATAAAAAAATAAAACAAAGCCAGGATTTAGCTCAGTGGCATAAGCGCCTGTCTGCCAAGGGCAAGGTTGTGAGTTCAATCCCTGGTACAAAATAAATAAATAATAGCATGAACAAATTTTATATGGAAAAGCAGATAATATAATTGTTTGTTTTTGGTTATTTGATTCTGAATGCCCTGTAACACTTTCATTCTCTTGAATGGTTTTATAGTATTTTGTTATGTTTGATACTATTGTATGTGAAGGTACTCTCAACTATTTCAAAAAAAGAGACACCATGGTAGCGTAGCTACTATTAATATCTTGTGGTGAAGTTCTGTGTGGCTTACATTGCTTTGTTCTGATCTGTTCTGTTCTGTCCTCTTTTGTCTTAATGTCTTTAAAATTAAAAAAAGTTAAAAATAAATAAATAAAGATGGAGTGTACCTCAGTGCAAGGTCCTGGGTTCAATCTCTAGGACTGAAAACAAAATGCAAGGTGAAGGCCATTTTCAAATAAAATCTGAAAGAATTTGTCACCCACAGATTCTACAGTAAATGGCATACTGCAAGAAGTTCTTTCAGACATAAAGAAATATCCCAGGTAGAGACCTTCTTTCAGACATTAAGAAATATCCCAGGTAGAAACCTAATATATACACAAAGGAATATAGAAAAAATCACATTTGAAAATATTTGAATTATGAGAACTAAAGCTTCCAGAGGTTCAAGAAAGGTGAGAGAAGACACACGAAGACTCTAGATCAGAAATCAAAATGCCTTTAGATTTTCCAATAGCAAATCTAAAAGTAAAGACACAGGAAAGTTAAGCTGCCCCAATTCTGAGGGAAAAGTATCTCCAACCTAGAACTTTACACCCAATCTAAGGTATGCTGAAGACATTTTCAAACACATAATTTTCAAAATAATTTCTTCCCATGCCCCTTCCTCAGAAAAATGCTGAAGCATGCAGTGCACAAAGCAAGGGAGCAACAGTGGAACAACGGGCCTAGCATCTGAGGGGAATGGAAGGGGGGTCCAACAAGCCATAGGGCAGCCAGCAGCTAAAATGACACTGAGTACTGTGGGTTTCCCCACATAGCATTAAATGAGTTACTGAGAACATCACAGTGACGTAAGACATTTAACCTTATTTGGTAAACCTTAGCTGGCTCATTACCTGTTAAGAGGTATGCAAACTATATCCTGGCAAGGAAGGGAAAAGCTGTCATGCAACTAAAGATGGAAATACCTGGTCTTTTGCCATTCTCAGGGGGCTATAAGTACACAAAAGACACAGGGGACAGGAGTGGCCATACTAATTGCAGGGGTCCCCAGCAGCCATGAACATGCTTTGTGGTCTAGTGCCCAGGCACTGCTGCTATGTAAGAATCAGGGCACCCCACAGCCCATATGTGACATAATGGGGGATGCCTGACACAGGACTTCTATCTTGAACAACTTGAGTTCAAAGCTAGATCTAATTTGATTTAGACCACCCAGGAAATATGCTTCCACAGAGTATAACAGATGTTTGTTTGGGTTCCCATCTCAGTAGGACCTAGGGACAAAAAACAAAATAAAACAAAACAAAAAAACACCATTTGGTTCTCTCAGTCCAATCTACAATTAAAAATACAGACAGCTGGGAATGTAGTTCAGTAGTAGAGTGCCGCTTACTTAGTATACGCAAGGCCCTGGGTTCAATTGTCAGCATGGCCAAAGAACAAAACACCAAAGAGAACAGTGCCTACCTTGTATTACGACCAGCTACTACTGAACTTTTCAGGAAATCGCAAGCCTGTTAAAGGTAGATCCCACAACTCACTCACATGAAATCCAGCACTGAATCATTCCGAATGATCTTATGGGAGACATCAGCTAGCAGAAAAAGACCTCCATCTGTCCTCCGGATGCTAGCTGCATAGCCAGGCCAGATCTGCAACCTGAAGAGAGAGGTATTATTTATCCTAGGTTCTAAAGGAACACTCACTTCCATTACCTGACCTGAAACGATTCTTAAAGAGTTGATACTGTCCTTCCCTGCTGACCATGAAGAAGCCCCAGGATACAAACTAAATTAAGCCAGTACTGCTTCAAGTTTACTAAAAATTTAAACTACAATAAATTTAACTAATAAACTATATTCACTGCCAAAAAAAAAACTACTGAAATTTTTGAGCATAAGTATAAGCAGTATAAGTATAAGCAGTAACAATGAGAAAATGTTTTTTCAGAGCATTCAAAATTTAAGAAGGTAAAAAAAAAATACCAACCTGTGTTGTTGTAATACCATAGCACTTGTAGGGTCATAGAAGTTTCTCCCCACAGGCTTCATATCTAAAAGTTTCATTACCCTGAAATAAAGAGCAGGGATGACAGTTATTTTTGTTTGTTTTTTGTTTTGTTTGTTTCATTGAAATTGCCAGGATCGAATCCCGGGCTTTGCATGGCTAGACAGACATGCTACCAAGGAGTACATCCATAGTCCTAAAATGGAGTATGTGTGCGTGTGTGTGCGTGTGCGTGTGCGTGTGTGTGTGTGTGTGTGTGTGTGTTGCTGGGGCTTTTGTAGGACCCAGGGCTTTTGTACCAACCTACCTCCTGAGCCTTTTTTTTTAAATTTTGAATTTTAAAATAAGGTCCCATTATATTATCAAGGCTCAAATTTGCAATCCTCCTGCCCCAGGCTCGCCAAATGCTGGGATTATAGGTGTGTGCTTTAGAACTGAATTTCTAATGGAAGAATAATAAATAGAATTAAGCTTCATTACTCTTGATTTCCTTTGGAAGCCTAAAGGGTCAGAAATACTTGTATCCTTTGACGTAGAGCTTTTATGTTAAGAACAATCTTACTAAAAGAAAAAAATTATTGGCTGGGCATGGTGGCACATGCCAGAGATCCCAGCACTCTGCAGGCGGAGGCAGGAGGACTGTCACAAGTTCAAAGGCCAGCTTGGGGTACATAGTGAGTTGAGAACCAAGCCTGAACTACAGAGCAAGACCCTATCTCGAGAAACAAAAAAATCAAAGCATTTATCTTGGAATATTGTAGCTGGCATCTCAAAATGGAGCTTTAAAAGCTATATTTTCTTCTTTTTAGTGATAACTACTCCAAACCTCCTCCAGCTGAACACATAACCAAAACTCCTCCTCTCATCAGAGGCTGAAGCTCAGATTCCATTCCACAAGAAAAGGGAGGCCAGAGAGGGAGGCTCATGCCTATAAACCCAACAATCAGGAGGCTGAGGCAGGAGGATAGCCTGGGGTTTAAGGGCTACACAGGAAGTTCAAGACCAGCTCTAACTACATAGTGACCCCCCCAAAAAAGAAAATAAGAAACAAGAAAGGGGCAAATGAGCTAACGATGGCTAAAAGTGAAGAAGCAAGTGTAGAGATGTACATTAGCTCTCTGTGTTCTCTAGCAAATGTAGAGATGTGCATTAGCTCTCTGTGTTCTCCTTCCTTGTGTTCTTTTCTCTAAAAGCTCCTTATCCACTCCACTATACATGACAAGATAGTGATATGAAGCAAAAAGGCCCCTCTGTCTCCCTGAGTTAGCTTTAAATATATCCCTTTTCCTTGTTTTTACCAAAATAAATGGCCTCCTTTGATTTGGTCTGCAGCAAGTAAGTGAACCTGAGCGATGAACCTGAATGGCTGGTAACAGTTTGAATAACGGACTGCAGCCTTTCCTACTTATTAGCTAATGAAATGGTGAAATATTTCCCAGGCTCAATTTATATTTTTTACCACTAACCTAATAGAACACAAGAAAGCCAGTTTCCATGCTTGTGAATAACAGTCTGGAAAAATTAATTCTGTTTTTTCCTGGCAGTTCAGTTTACTAGGTTCTGTTTTACTGCTTAGAAGGTAGTTTGAGAATAACAACTATAAGAAAATTAGGGATACTCAAAAGAAACTAAACAATTATGAGCTGCCTATAATTCAAAAGCTTTAGGGACAGGAAAATCTCTTCCAATATTTATGCACACTACCTCTCTGAGTAATCCCCTCACTAACAATATAATACATAGTATAAACATCTGCTTTGAAACTGTCTGAACTAATTCAGAGGAATCCATTCTGCCACCCAGCTATCTCCAAAGCCAATTTCATATACTTGAATCTGATTTATCACTTGTGAGATAATTTTTTATTGTTTTTTGAGATGGAGTTTCATTAGTAGTTTAGGCTGATCTTGAACTCAGTAAGGTATCCCAGGTTGCCTTTAAACTTGCAGGAATCCTCCTGCCTCAGCCTTCTGAATGCTGGGGTTACAGGTGTGCATCACCATGCCCAGCTTTTGTGAGATAATTTTTAAGGTGCATTGAGATTATTTATTTATTTATTTATTTATGTACCAGGGATTGAACTCTCAACCTCGTGCTTGCCAGAGGCAGACACTTGTGCTGCTGAGCTAAATCCCTTGCCCATTCATTTATTTATTAAATGCATCCTCATTCACCTATAGATGTATCTATTGTATATAATGTCACCCAGCATTCAGAAGGCTGAGGCAGGAGGATTCCTGCAAGTTTAAAGGCAACCTGGGATACCTTATTGAGTTCAAGATCAGCCTAAACTACTAATGAAAGCAATATAAATTGAGCCTGGGAAATATTTTACCATTTCATTAGCTAATAAGTAGGAAAGGCTACAGTCCGTTATTCAAACTGTTACCAGTCATTCAAGTTCATCGCTCAGGTTCACTTACTTGCTGCAGACCAAATACAAAACTGAAGTTAAAATGAAGAAAGACTACAAATGTTTCTCACCGTCGGAAAACAACGTTGTAGAAAGGAATGCACAAGTCAGAACAAGGTTCCAGGATTTTTGTCAACTGAATCTTAATGCTGATCTCAGCATCATCAGTTTTCCTTTGACTTTTTAACTCAGGAACCTAACAAATAAACACAAGTAAATAGAAATGACAAAGCAATTAAGTCATAGTCTAATCTGTGTTCTAGAAAACACCAGAATATCTCAACATGCATTTTCTACTTTTCCTTCACTTTGCTGCCCACTCTGGCAAAATCACAGCATGACAACAAGGATAAAAGAAATTTGGTAAAAGAAACTCAATGAAGTTTGAAATTGAAATCTTAAGCCATTCTTTCATCACTGAAGTCAAAGGCTTTCAACCACTCTGTTGAAGGTCCTTCTTGAAGGTCCTTCAGAAGAATTTCTGTTAGGTTCTGCAAAAATCTCCCTTCCTTCTAAGAAAAAAAAGACACAACTGAAATGTTCAGGATGTTACGGTTTTCTACCACTCAAAACACCACAGCACTCTGAGATTTCACCCAAAATACAATTCCAATTGGGTCTTACCTGTTGAAGCTTAATAGGCAGGTAGAGAATAGATCCATCAAAAGCAGTGACATTTCCAGTGACAGCCTGATGGTCCTTTAACATGCCAAACCTCATGCTTTTGCATTCTACATTGGGGCTAGAAAATAATAAAGGGAATTTTACTTCAATTCGGTTCAAAGAGCAATCTTTTTTTTTTCAAAGTTAGTGAGGATTTACATTTATTGAAAGTGGAGAAGAAATACACTCTGCAAAGAGCTAGCCAGGAGCAGACTCACAAAAAATTTATTTTCCTTTAAAAAATTTTTATTGTATGTAAAGAAGTAAAACAAAATTTTGTAACAAAATAGTAAGAGAATAACAATAGCTAGTTCAATACATGTTGTTATTTTTAAAGTACTTGCTCAGGGTACAAGATACGGGCATAAAATTTTTCCAGTCAGTGTTAGTACAAACCTTCTTTTTCTTTTTTTTAACTTTTTATCGACCGCCTACTTGCAAGGCAGGTGCTCATGCCACTGAGCTAAATCCCCAGACCCAAACCTTCTTTTTCAATGAACTAAGAGATACCAATAGTATAACTGACTTGCATTTCCCCCTTTTCCTATCCCCCTTTACTTATCCTAGTTTCTTTTTCCTTTTGAACAATTTTTCCCATTTCACAATAGCTATTGTCCATTTTATATCTTATTTATTCTCTGAATTTCTCACAGCAGGGAGACAATATGTTTACACATGTGAGTCTGATTTATTTTACTAATTAGTATGGTCTCAAGTTGCATCCATTTACCTATAAAAGTCTCAATTTTATCCTCCTTTTTGGCTGAATAGTACTCCACTGTATAAAAATACCATATCTTTTTTATTTATTTTTTGGCTGATGAGCATTGGGTTTTTTCCAAGATTTAGCTATTACAAATTGTGCTGCTATAAACATGGGTCCATATATATATATATATATATATATATATCACGTGGTATGTTCTTAATTCTGAGAAGATACCCAGAAGGGGAACAGCTGGGTGGAATGGGACCTCTAATCCTAGTTTTTTGAGGAACCTCCACACTGACTTCCACACTGGTTGTACCAGTCCCACTAACAGTGCAGAAAGGTTCCTTTTCCCCCAGAGTCCCTCCAGCATTTGTTATTGCTTGTTTTCTTAATAACAGCCATTCTTTCTGGAATATGATGGAATCTCAGTGTTGTTTTAATTTGCATCAGTGATGCAAATGACCAGTGATGCTGAACATTATTTAATGTATTTATTTGCTGTTTGTATTTCTTCATCTGAGAAGTGTTTATTCAAACCAGATGCCCATTTTTTGACTGGGTCTTTGAATTTGGGGGGCTTTTATTTTTAGCTTGTTATATATTCTAGCTAGAAGTCCTCTGTAAGGACAATTGGCTAGAATTTTTTTCCCACTCTGTGGGTTGACTTAACTTGAATTGTGCGATCAGTAAGTGTAGAGAAGTAGTCATTCGTAACTGTGCTCCACCTAGTGGTCATAATAAAAATTAGTTTACTAAAAGTACAATGTGAGTTCAAGGATACCTGCTCATAGACAAACATCAAGAAACATGTTTCTTGATGCAAAGAAAAGGAAAATTAACCCTTAATTTAACACCTAAGGACAATCGCCTTAACATGTCAGTGTATATTCTTCCAGACTTAAGATCTATCTGAAAACATTTTATGTAAGGGTACAGATAGTATTTTAGGCTTTGCAGGTCACACAGTTGTGCAATTTTGTTGCTGTTATACAAAATCAGCAACAGACAACATGTAAACTAATGAGTGCAGCTATGTGCCAATAAAACTTTGTTACAAAAACAGGCTATGGGCCATGTTTGACCTTTGGACCAACAACGGTTTGCCAATTCCTGCTTTAGTCTTCAGAAATACACATTTTAAAATTTGCTTTATTACCACGAACCAAACTCAGGCCCTTGCACTCCCCAGGCAAGTCCTTATGCCATTGAGCTATATATCTCCAGCACACACTTTTAAAGTATTTTTTTAAAAACAGGAATTTAGTCAGCCATCCTATAATCCAAGTACTCTTCGAGGCTGATGCTGGGGGAACTGCAAGCTTGAGCCCAACACAGGCCACTTGGTAACTGTTGTAGTCGGGGTTTGCAAGGAAAACAATTTATTAACAGGAGACATAATTTATAGGTTTATAATAGTCTCCCAAAGAGTCAAACACAAAAAGTGCAGGAAATTTGTCCATACACTAAAGACCCCAAAGAATCCAGCTGAGGGCCCGGATGCCATGGCAACATCCTGTAGGAGTCTAACCAAAGACCTAAAGCCCGTGACAAAGTCTCAGGCAAGTCTGTTTCATGGATCTCTGCTGGAAGGTCAAAAGGTCAGTGGTGGAAGCCAGAAAATTTGTGACAACGTGGTGAAGGTGTGCCAGTAGGTTGAGGGCTCTCTCTTGAAAAGTACCATAGCCATTCTCAGTGATAGCAAGGTCCCAAGCTCCTGTAACAATGAGAACAAGTGAGTTCCTATCAGGAAGGAAGCTCGACAAGCTCCTCCAGGAAAGCTAACAGTAACAAGAGCACCATAACACTACTTCTTCCCCCTGTAGTTCTCTTTTTCATATTGGCAATAATCCTCAGGTGGGCCATCCACACCCAGCACTATGCTGATTCAGTTCAGCTGGTTGTTAAATTGACTACCAGTTGTCAATTTAACAATTAAACAGACTACCAGTTGTAAAATCATCACAGTAATTTAGCAAAACTGTCTCAAAAATAAAAACTTCAAAGGGCTGGGGATGCTCTCTTTGCTTCCGGATACTGCACCATGAGCTGCTTCTCTTGCTGCACTGCCTGCCTTGGAACCACCTGACTACGAACTGAAAACTCTATGAATTGTGAGCCAAAGTAAACCTCTCCTCTTTAACAAGAGGGGAGGAGAGCTGGTGATGTAGTTTGGTACGATGGCCCTGGGTTCAATCCCCAGTACTGGGAGGTGGGAGCAGGGGAAAAAATTTTAAACTGGATTTTACTCTAACCACTTTCACTCATGACAATTTTGACTTTTTATTGATTCAGTGCTACAAATGCCATAGCTCAGGAAAACTCCAGAGGGGGTAAGAAGCAGGAAGGTGGGAACTAGAAATAAAAAGAAAACCTCTAGCAACTTCTTTATACAAGGACTGTCCTGTTACATCACAGTAACACACAAATTTCTATAATGGCAAAATTTGAACAAATCCAAAGATAAAAAGAATCAAGTATTGTTCAAGAGCACGAAGACAAAAAAAATCAAGTGATAATCCAACAGAATTCATAAAATCAAACACATGCAAAAATCACATTTAAAAGAATTCACAAAAAAGTTTAGTGCACCCTGACTAAACATTACAGAGACTATCTCTTTTGCAGTGAAGGTGTTTGGCCCCTTTGTCAAAGATGGCTGAGTGTGTCTGAGTTGTTTCTGCATCTTCTAATCTGTTCCACTGATCCTCAGGTTTGTTTCTCTGTTTATTTCATTTTATTTATTTATTTATTTTGAGACAGAGTCTCCCTATGCAGTTCAGGCTGACCTTAAACTATGTAGCCCTCGAACTTGGAGTGATCCTCCTGCCTCACCCTCCTGTCTACTAGGATTAATGAGTGTGCCACTCAAGTCTATTTTTTCCCTGGGTACCATGCTGTGTTTATAAAACACAGTAGCTTTTCAGTATAGTTTCAAGTCAGAGCTCCTGCCTTGCCTTTGTTGCCAAGAATTGCCTTTGATATTCTAGGGTCTCCTCTGGTTCCAAAAGAATTTTAGGATTGTTTTCTCTAATTCTGTTCAGACAACTAAATGCAGATATCTTGTACTCTGGACTGACAGATTTGAGAATGGCAATATGCAATGTATGTACCATTGTTGTCCCCTCATTGTTGTGTTTTGAAACAATATGCAATGTATTAAGCATTATTGTGCTCCTATTATCTTATTTAGAAATTTTTCTCTTTAAAATAAAAATTTTTTTAAAAACCAAATCAGATACTGATGATCGCTTGGATTTCTGCAGGATCTGTTCTGATTTCATCCTTTTCATTCCTATGGCATGATTTGCATCTTTTCTTTCCTTTTTTTTTTTTTTGATAAGGTTGGCTAAAGGTTTGTCAATTTTATTTAATCTTTCAAAGAACCAATTCTTCTATTTATTGATTCTTTGTATTGTTATTTTAGGCTCCAATGCATTAATTTCTACTCTGATCTTTATAATTTTCTCCCTTGATGAGAACTGGGCTTGACTTGCTCTTCCTTCTAGACACCTGAGGTTCAACATTACATTATATGAACTCTGTTTTGCTAATATGGGAATTCACTGCTATAAATTTACACTGTTGAACTGCTTTCGTTGTGTCCCATAAGTTCCAATATGTTGTATGGGCATTATTGTTTAGCTGTAGAAACTGTCTAATTTCTTTTTTAATTTCACCTGTTTAGGACATACAGGTGGTGCACTCAGTACTCAGGAGGTTGAGGCAGGAGGAATATGCTGTGAGTTGAAGCCTGCGTTATATAAGAGAGTTCAAGGCCAGCAAGAACTACACAGTTGAGACACTGGTCTCAACCCCTCTCCAAAAAACAAAACAAAAACATGTTCTGGAGGTTTCTGCTGGGAAGACGGATTGCATTGCCTTTTGGAGTCCAGACAATGTGTTATGGCTTAGCAGAAAGCTTGTCTATTGTAGGGAGCCGCTGAAGCTGGAGATTGATCACATGTGTGGGGTTAAAGCAAGCAAGCCCAGAAAAAAGACAGAGACCAAAACAAGCTATGTAAACAAGTTGTTTCAGCACCAAGAATACAAGGGGCTCAGGCCTGCCAGGCAAACAAGTTGCTAGGCAGTGGGTCTGAAATTGATATTCCTCTTTGGAGGGTGTAAATAAACATGCCGCATTGGTTCAGCAGTTCCTTTCCTCTCATCAGGAGGGTAAGGGCTCCATCTGACCCCAGCTTTGTCTTTTCTTTATTTTTCTCATCCTCTGGTGGTCCTTAACTGTAAGAACCTCAGGAGCTCCATGGGTCGCGGCATATGTGCCAGAACACAGACCAGGTAAGAGACTGAAGGTGAGGGGTCACTTGTCATGTACATGCAACTAGGGGGAGACGTGCATTGGTGTAGGT